TTGACCTTCATCTCACAGGTGGGATTCAAATTTGACAGCTAACGGTCATATTTTTTTTCAAATGAACTGAAAATGTGCTCCAAACAAGAGCTAAGTTGTCAGGGTGCTCCACGCATTTCTAACTCTATGAAGTTAGGTTTTATTTCATGACTTGTGCTAGTGTTCAAAAATTTAAAGTATAATAATGAGAAATTAATGGAAATGGAATGATGGCACAAATATTGACGTTGCAATTAGAATTAGAAGTTGACCAACTTGCTTTTAAAAAAAGATTACTAACACCATTACGGTTGAGCTCCACTTTTGAAGAAATAAATTTTGTAATATTGATTTTTTTTTAAGCATGTGTGATTAAAAAGTAGCAAAAGATTTTGATTTTACGTGTAAAATTATTTTATTGAAAGAATGTGTAGTTAAAAATGAATTTTGTCTTGATCTCTTGTTACACTTTTGCCTCCAAATCGTTTTTTTTTTTTGTAAGACTTTAATCTCGACCTTTCATTAATTAAGGTAATTCGTCCATACTAACGATTATGATCAAAAATTTCTATTAGTCAAATATCAATTTACTTGGTCAATCACAAGATAACCGTAAATCACCCTTCCCATATGGTCGTTCAACTTTGAGATAATTTGTCGCCAGACTAATTGTTGTTTCCTTGTAGTGTTTAAGAGATCGTGGAAGTCAATAAGCCGAGTTAAAGAAGAAGAGTTTTCTATTTCTTTGCTGACACTGGTATGGATGGAGATACTGAAGAATATAAAATAAAATAAAATTTATATTTAGCATTGGAAAAGTCATTTTTCCTTTGTATTTAAATTATCTTTCCCATTCTATAATTAGTATAAGGGTAATGTTTCTTTAGTTTTAAGTGATATTATCTTTTTTTTGTGTCTAACTAATAGAGTATTCGTTTAATTAATAAAAGGTTTAGATTATAAAAGTACAAAAAGTGGTGAAAGTGAGATCAGATGTAAATGTGGACGAGAGAGCCATTAATTAAAGATCAATTTCCTACAAAAAAATTTGCCAACCTCTACCCTTGATTCTTTGAATCGGGTGTTTAGCAAGGTCCTAAAATGTTACGTGATAAAGCATGGAGGTCAACTCGTCAAGCCGCAAATCTTAAGAACCTAAACGTAATAAGGCATTTTTTATTTTTATTGTTTATTTGAATTATTGTAGATCAAAGAATACATAAAATATCGCAAACCTTGGAAAATTTTATATGTTCCTCAAACATATTTTTCAACCTTTCAACAAAAATATAATTATCAAAGTCATAAAAATCAATAATGCTTTGTTAATGGGTAGAGAAAGCTATGATCTTAAAAGTCAAAACAACAATTGAGCATTTTGTTGAGTTAGAATTTAAAATAAGAAAATATCACTTGCTCACAAAAGACACGCACCTTAAGTGATCAAATTGGACTTAACTGATTATTTTTCCATTTAGGCGCGAGTTGGATGGTTTCCTCTTAACCCCGAGTCTAGGGGCCTTTTAGAGAGTTAAATGTTTCAATAATCAACCTACTTATAACATGGTCACGGTTTGCTAACTAAACTTTAAAACGCCTCACAGTGCTCACTGAACTTTGTCCGTTTGCACTCCATTCATCACCCTAAAAAATTCTTTACTTAATTCGCTGACGTTATTAACGAAAATCCCACGTGAGAAATTACTGCCCTTGAAAAAATTATAAGTCAGCCAAACCAACGTTCTATTACTTATCCAACTTATACTTGATCACAGATTACTGGTCAAACTTCAAAATACTTTTCAATGATCGCTCATCTTTAAAACATTTCAATCCATCAATCATCTGTCAGATTCCATTCCTTCGTTGTTTCATATTGCATTGAAATATTGTAAGTTATGATCGTTAAAAAATTTATAACTCAGCCAAATCATGAACTTACTAAAATCACCATATGTGAAACGCAACTTCCACGACCCCATAAACTTCTTTAAGCCCCAATGATGTGTTCCCAATTTTAGTCCTAAAGAATCCTAGCATCCAATTTACTCATCTCACTAACATATAATTGAATTGTTATTGAGGCAGAGCCGATTGTTAAGAATGATGCAAGAAACTACTTATAAAGTTGTATCCCCCTAATTGTACCATATGCTTTGAGTCTCTCTAATCCCAAACTTTCCTTTTCTATAGTGCGTGTATCCAACTATTTGAGAAATGATATATCATCAAAATTTGGCTAAATTGATGAACAAAGAACAACAAATACAAACACAACCAAAAAGGTATTCCAGTCGTACATTATTGTTGGAGTTTGATGACACATCGTTCCTTAAATTGTTAGACACGTGCTTGCAAAAATGAAAGGTTGGAATTAGAGAGATGTCCAGCAGATGGTATAATTGGTGGATATGACTTTATAAGTAGTAGTTTCCCATCAATAATCAGATATGTCTCAATATACAATTTAACTATACATGAGTGAATTTCAAGCTGAAATTGGGGACGCATTATTGGGGATTAAAGAAATTTATGGGACCATGAAAGTCGCATTTCACACGTGGTGATTTTGGTGAGTTGATTGTTTGGTTGAGTTCTAAATTTTTTAAATAATCATAATTTGCCACGTGAGATTTCTGTGTGATACGTTAACAATGAAGGAACGAAATCTGGCGAATGATGGATGGAGTGCAACGTTTCAAAGATGAGTGAACATTGAAAAATATTTTGAAGTTTGATGAATGATTTGACCAAGTAGGATGGCTAATGAAATATTGGTTTTGGTTGAGTTGTAATTTGTTTAATTATAGTAACTTATCACGTGAGATTTCTATTACTCACGTCAGGGAATTAAATAACGATTTTTTGAGGATGATGAATGAAGTGCAAAAGACAAAGTTCAATAAGCACTGCAAAATAATTTGAAATTTAGTGACTAAATCATGACTATGATATAAGTTGATTGATTATCGAATCGTTTAACTCCCTTTTAGAGCACCCGTGTTTAGTCCATGCTTTGGAAACCAGTATAGGTTTAACGCTTATATCGAAACATTTAACTCCCATTTAGAGCACCCGTGTTTAGTCCATGCTTTGGAAACCAGTATAGGTTTTAACGGAAAAACGATCCCTACGTCTCTCTCTCTCTCTCTCTCTTCAGACTCACTGCACTCCCA